GAACAATTGTTTTGCCCTGAGATGCTGTTAATCTGTAACTTTGCCCCAACCTTGAGCTCACAGGAACATGTGTTGTATGGAATCAAGGTTTAAGGGATCTAGGGCTGTGCAGGATGTGCCTTGTTAACAACATGTTTACAGGCAGTGTGCTTGGTAAAAGTCATTGCCATTCTCCAGTCTCAGTAAACCAGGGGCACAATGCACTGCGGAAAGCCACAGGGACCTCTACCCTGGAAAGCCGGATATTGTCCAAGGTTTCCCCCCATGTGATAGTCTGAAATATGGCCTCGTGGGATGGGAAAGACCTGACTGTCCCCCAGCCTGACATCCGTGAAGGGTCTGTGCTGAGAAGGATTAGTGAAAGAGGAAAGCCTCTTGCAGTTGAGATAGAGGAAGGCCACAGTCTCCTGCCTGCCCCTGGAAACTGAATGTCTCGGTATAAAACCCGATTGTACATTTGTTCTGTTCTGAGATAGGAGAAAAACCACCCTGTGGCGGGAGGCGAGACATGTTGGCAGCAATGCTGCTTTGTTATTCTTTACTCCACTGAGATGTTTGGGGGGAGAAAAGCATAAATCTGGCCTACATGCACATCCAGGCATAGGACCTCCCCTTGAACTTATTTGTGACACAGATTCCTTTGCTCACATGTTTTCTTGCTGACCTTCTCCCTATTATCACCCTGCTCTCCTATCACATTCCTCTTGCTGAGATAGTGGAAAGAGTAATCAATAAAACCTGAGGGAACTCAGAGACCAGTGCCGGTGCAGGTCCTCCATATGCTGAGCACCAGTCCCCTGGGCCCACTGTCCTTTCTGTATACTTTGGCTCTGTGTCTTATTTCTTTTCTCCATCTCTTGTCCCACCTGACGAGATATACCCACAGGTGTGGAGGGGCAGGCCGGCCACCCCTTCATCCTGGGTGGGAGCATTTGATTGGCCGAGGCTAGATAATATGACTGTCCTCTAGTGACCAGGGACCAGGGAAAGGGCATCTGGCTTGGCTCCTTTCTATAGTAAGAAGTAGATCCTGCCGGCCTTCATGATCACATCACAGAGGGAAGGGCATTAGGATGCTAAGTAACCCCCACAACCGCAAATGACTATTTCACCTCCCCATTTGGACTTCTGTGAGCATATAGACATCACCAACAGTTTTGTCTTTGCTTTGTTTTTCTTGAGACAGGGTCTCACTCTGTCACCCAGGCTGGAGTGCAGTGGCATTATCATGGCTCACTGCAGCCTCTGGCCTCCTGGGAACAAGCAATCCTCCAGCCTCAGCCTCCTGAGTACCTGGGACTACAGGCATGAGCCATTATGCTTGGCTAGTTTTTTATTTTTTTAATTTCCCGTAGAGACGAGCTCTTGTGATGTTGCCCAGCCTGGTCTTGGACTCCCGGGCTCAAGCAATTCTCCTACCTCGGCCTCCCAAAATTCTAGGATTAGAGACATGAGCCACTGTGCATGGCAGTTACTTTATTTCTACAAAATATGGAGGCATTTCCTGTCACTCCTCAAATGAGTTACACCCCCCACAAAAAGCACTGTTCTAAGTGCTGAGTTTGCAAAGGCTTTCACCTCACTGAAGGGGAAAGAATTTCTTCTGTCTCACTAGTTCACTGATTGCCTCCTTCTGGCCCAATAGCTGGGGGAAAACCAAAGATCCATCTGTCCACTTGACTTTTGCTCAGATGCTTAGTGTGCAGCACATTAGCTTCCAGGGGCATTGAAACTTCTTCTCCAAGGGTTCCATTAGCGATTAGACGCACACTTTAAAGTATGTCATGCTGCCACGTATCAGACTGGGACAGAGATGAACTGGAACATGAGAGATGTGTTGAGGGGACAGCCAGGATTCTGCCATTGTTCTTTCAGTGTACTTCTGATGCCTCTCGAATTCCACAAGGGGAGGTGTTGATGTGTGTGGTTAAGTAACATGAAGCCAGAGCTGACACTGTGGCAGCTGCTCCCAAAGGCACAGAGTTTTCTTTGTTGCCAGGAAAAGATGCCCTTGAATTTTCTGGGCTGAGGTAAGAAAGTTTGGCAGATCCTGCCTTCTCTGTTTTCTGATTGCCTTAATGGATTACAAGATAGAAAATAAGGAGCCAGAAGGACCTTCAGAGAATCTATCCACGGCCTGTGTGTCTTAGGTTCTCCCCGGAAATAGACTCTCAGGCACAAATTCAAGTGCAAGGAGTTTATTTGAGTGGGAAAGCAAGGAACTGAGACAGGAGAGGGAAAAAAAGCAGTGAAAGGTACGTTATCAAGCAACTTACCACTGTGGGCACCTGGAACTTAATCCTACTGGAGCCAGCACAGATTGGAAGCCTCAAGGTTATCCTGTACAAGGAGTAAGGCAGCTGGGGTATTTAAACACCGGTCCCCATCCGTCTTTGGTTGAAGGCTGAGACTGGGAGGGCACTAATTTCCCAGTGCTTCCAGCTTGCTGTGTGAATGGGCAAAGCAAGCTCTGGTCACCAGACAAAGCCCTCGGGCAAAGAGGCAGATGCCGGCTGTTAAAAGTCAGGTGCTGTGCCACAAAATGCTAAGGCCCGAGGGGGCATGGGCAGGGCACCCAAAGCATCTGCTGTACTGTGTCCACTCTCATCCTCCAGACTGTGGACAAACTTCCTGTTCATCACTCATTCAAAGTGCAGCATAAATCTTCCCAGAATCATCCAGGCATAGTAGCTCACGCCTGTAATCCCAGCATGTTGGGAGGCCGAGGTGGATGGATCACCTGAGGTCAGGAGTTCGAGACCAGCCTGATCAACATGAAGAAAATCTGTCTCTACTAAAAACACAAAATTAGCCTGGCTTGGTGGTGCATGCCTGATCCCAGCTACTCTGGAGGCTGAGGCAAGAGAATCGCTTGAACTTGATTCTTGGGAGGCTGATGTTACAGTAAGCCAATATCGTACCATCGCACTTCAGCCTGGGCAACAAACTCTGTCTCAAAAAAAAAAAAAAAATTCTTCCCAGAATCAGTCGGGAGGTGCACATCCTCCAGTATCCACAAAACCAGATTTCTAATTGGTACAGGTTGCTTATCTCACTATTTGCTGCTCAGTAACTCTCCACCCGTGTTACAGAGTCACTCGGGTTTAATCTTCTTTCAGCCCTACCAGAAAACTCATCAGCAGCCCACAGACCCTGACCACAGTCCTGGCATAACTGAACAAATGCTGACCGATTGACTCACTCTCATATCCTTCCATTCAGTAAATGTCCTGGATATTTGGAAATGCCACAGTTCACAGCCAATGCACTTTCAACAGGTCCTGAAAAATGATTTGGAGAGGTTTACAATTTGCTAAATGTGTTGAGTCTGGGATTGGTAGAGAACCATGACTTTGGGAGAATAGAACGTTTCTCTTCTCTGGGACATAGGTCGGGTTCCTTCAGCACTATGGATAGAATTTGCTTAAACTGTGGGTCAGCTAGCTGTGAGTTGCAACTTGGGGGTGTCTGTGAGAGGCTGGGTCGTTGGTGAAAGCAGAAACACTTAGTTTTGTCTGGTGTATGAACATCCTACTAAGATTTATTGAAGGAATTGAAAGACCATCTGGGATTTGCCATGTGATCTTATATTAATGAAGGGATATATTTGAGTCTCATGTCTTGCTGGTTTTCATCATTCATTTTTTTTCTTTTTCACCCTGAGTATCAGCCTTTAATAGAAATTGTGATAGCTCAGGATCAGGTGGTTTCATCAGAAAGGACCTTAATAGGTCACCTGGGTAGCCCCTCAGTCTCCAGGCTACACCATGCTTAAACTATTCCTAACAGGACACTGCTTATCCACAGTCTGGACATTTTTCCAAAAGTGGGGTCAGGCTGGGTGCAGTGGCTCACGCCAGACCAGCCTGGCCAACATGGTGAAACCCTATCTCTACTAAAAATACAAAAATTAGCCAGGCATGGTGGCACACACCTGTAATCCCAGCTACTCGGGAGGCTGAGGCAGGAGAATTGCTTGAACCCGGGAGGCAGCGGTTGCAGTGAGCTGAGATCGCGCCACTGCACTCCAGCCTGGGTGACAGAATGAGACTTCATCTCAAAACAAAACAAAACAAAAGAGGGGTCAAAGAAATGCCATTTGCATTATCAGCACCTATATTTTTCTGCCCAGATCATAAAGTTATAGCATCTATCTTATTTATATCAAATCTGTCATCTACATCTATGTTTACAGCTATATCATTTATCTATAGGCTATATCTTATAACATCATTTGCCTCTATATTTACACATACTCCACCTACATCTGTGTTCACAACTTTATCATCTCCAGCCCCATTTTCATCTTTACTATCTGCATCACCTATACCTATGCTTACATTACATCAATATCTACATCAACATTTTGATCTACACCATCTGTACCAGTGGTTCTCAACTGGGGCAGCTTTGCCCAGGGACATTTGGCAACTTCCAGAAAGACTTCTTATTGTTACAGCTCAGGGTTGGGGGGAGAAATGCCCTCAGCATCTGGGCCAGGGATGCTGCTAAATCCCAGGGACGCTGCTAAATCCTGCAATGCACAGGATAGTCTTTGACAACAAAGATATATTCAGCCTAAAATATCAATAGTGCTGAGGTTGAGAAACCCTAATCTACATCACCTTCCTCATCTGCATCCATATTTACAGTTATGCCATGCACATCTGCATCTATATTTGCATCTACTCTATCTATATCTGTGTATATATCTACACCATCCACTCTACATTGGCATCTACGTAATTGACGGCTACCTCGACAGCATCTACAATATCTATGTTAACTACATTGACATCATCCACTCCACCTACATCATCCACATCTACAGGATCTAAACTTTGCATGCACATCTATATCTAATTATATACATGATATGACAATCAACACATGTTTGTTATATCAAAATGAGTGGTCCTTTTAGACTAGAAGGAAATTTTAATTTCAATTTTTCCCTCCCCTGGCCTCACACATAAAACGTAAGTGGAACAGATCCTTACCTGGCAGGGGAGATACCATGATCATGAAGGTGGTTTTCCCAGGGTGAGGTTTATCCATTGCACTCTAGACGTGCTGACCCTGTGATTTCCCCAAATGTGGGAAACTCAATTGCATAATTTGTGGCAGTGGGAACTATGTTCTCACTATTCCCTGTTTTTTTAAAAAAGGGAGTAGAACAGAGGCCAATCATTGTCTATTATACTCCCTGAAGTATAAGAGGCACGAGCTCTTTTCCGACTCTGTTATTGCTTGCAAACACCTCAATATTGTTGGCTTATGGGCTTTGATAAGCAACCAAGGAGGCTTCCATTTTGATCTGGGTTGAAGTGAGAAGTGAAACATGTGTCTGATAAATTTCATTCCTGCTCTGTCTTTGCTTGCCAGCCTCTCAGGATGAGAGGGCATCAGATGCAGAGACACTTGTCTCACAATTCATCACAATGGTGATAAGGAATAGTTTCTTCTCAAAAGAGCAATCACTGCACTTGGAGAACCTGATATGGTTGATCACATCTTGTTCCACCGGAACTGGTCTGGGCTGGAAAACATGCAGTTGACACATGGGAAGCCGCAGATACTGTTATTTCAGGCTGGGCTCTTTGGGTCTCAGAATAGCAAAAGACATCTGATTCCATGACCAAAACAGCAGCTCGGGTTGCCACGTTCAGTTAAGCTTCCTTAGGTACATGAGCTGATTTGTCAGCCAAGGCAAAAGTCAAGTGATGTTTCTAGATGAAATTGAGAACACGGGGGATAGACAAACAAGAGCAAATCCCTGTGGCTTCTTTAGCCTGTGACATTTACTCAATAACTTTGCTTCCTGGTAGAAACCCTTGCCTCCTGGAGACCAATATTTTTCCTCCAGGAACAAGATTGGCCTGAGGCAAAGTTTCAAAACAGACTCTTTCTCACCTTTTTATATTCTCATTCTTTGTAGTGTTTTCAAATTCTCAATAAATATTAATACTTAGAACTTGGAAATGAGAAATCAGAAGTTATTTACTCATTATTACGGATTTAACTTTTTTGTTTGTTTGTTTGTTTTGAGACTGAGTCTGGCTCTATAGCCTAGGCTGGAGTGCAGTGGCACGATCTCGGTCACTGCAACCTCCATCTCCCAGATTCAAGCGATTCTTATGCCTCAGCCTCCCAAGTAGCTAGGATTACAGATGCCCCCTACCACACCCGGCTAATTTTTGTATTTTTAGTAGAGACAGGGTTTCACCATGTTGACCAGGCTGGTCTCGAACTCCTGACCTCCAGTGATCCACTCGCCTCGTCCTCCCAAAGTGCTGAGATTACAGGCATGAGCCACCGCGCCTGCTAGATTTAACATATTTTAATAAATAAGAAATATTCTGTCTAGTAGTATTTAGAAGGAACTATAAACAAATATCCGAACCTTGTCAAAGGCTAGCAAACATTACTAAATAGGTTTTGAATAATCTAACATTCAAATCTAGCCCAGCAAAGTTAACAGAATTACATAGAAATCACAATTCAAAATCGTCAATTTATAGATTTTTTTGCTTCCAAAAGTTGTTATTTCTTGGAACATCACTCTCTGGGTCTGTGTAAAGTGTGCTATAAAAAGTGCAAAGTTCTTTTTTTAATTTTATTTTTAAAACTTTCTCTCTTTTTCTGTTTTTTGAGATGGAGTCTCTTTCTGTCACCCAGGCTGGAGTGCAGTGGCACAATCTTGGCTCACTGCAACCTCTGCCTCCCGTATTCAAGTGATTCTCCTGCCTCGGCCTCCTGAGTGGCTGGGACTACAGGCACCCGCCATCATGCCCAGCTAATTTTTATACTTTTAGTAGAGACGGGGTTTCATCATATTGGCCAGGCTGGTCTCAAACTCCCGGCCTCAGGTGCTCCACCTGCCTCAGCCTCCCAAAGTGCTTGGAATATGGGCATGAGCCACCACACCTGACCTAAAAAGTGTAAAGTTCTTAATATTTATTTTATTTGCAAGAATGCCTCCCAATTAGCAGCAGATAGAGCCAGGAACACAGGCTTGTAACATGGTATTAATTATAAGCAAGGCAGACTGATCAGCCCAGGGCACCTGCTCTACATGTGCTCCCCTCCTTGCTCTCAGAAATGCTGACCTCAACCTTCAACTGCTGCGTCAGCTGATCTTGCCTTCAATGGATCCCTCAATGAATCCCTAATACCACTGAGGCCTCTGCTGATTTTTAAGCTTTAATTCTCACAGAATTGCAATACCTTTCTTCCATTTTCTCAACTAATCTGTCTCAGAATTGGGGATGTGGAAAAGTATATAAATTGTCTACGAAATGCTGGGAAGGAATTTTCTCATGGCCGCGCTACTCATCAGGTCATCAGTGGGGACTCCCTCTTCCCTGGCCTGGTGCTCTGACCGCCCGAAGTTTCCTTCTACCTGGTCCCTCTCAGCTTACCCTTTTCCCTTCGTCATTTAAGCTTCAAGGATACACACTCCCTACCATAAAAACTCCAGGGTTCTCCCAGCTGGACTTCAGACTTGAAGAGAACAGCAATCTGACTGAACTATTTCACCCTGAAGTATGAATAACTAATATGCCTTCTGTAGGAATTAGAAGCATAATCAAAATAATGGAAATATTTTTGCAAGTGTGGGAAAAATAGTCTGACACAGCATTCCCTTCAATGATAGCAGAAGAAAATGCTTTCAAGGGCCACCTAGATGATGGGCACTGGGCTGGACGTGAGACCATAAAGAGTGGTGGAGACAGAGTGTGGTCAAACTTCAACTAAAGGCACTTGAATTCAAATGTTTAAAACAACCAACCAGTAAGAGCCAAACGTAACTCACTTCAGTGACGGCCACTCAGGCTACGTGTTTTTGATCTCTCTGTTGAATACTCCAGTGAGATATGGGCCTAATGGAAGCCAATTCTTGTTGCTAAGCCAGCTTCACACCCCAGAGAGTTAGAATCACAGATTAAAACATTCTAACCACCATAGTTAAAAAAAAATAGGTAAAATGTCATTATTTTTAATGTTAGACTTTCAATAAATTTAGTAGTCAGATGAGAAAAATCATATCCCATATGTAGACTACGTATTTGCAAACAAGGTAAGGTGAGGAATTCGGAAACTTATAACTACATGCTCCTTCCATTTAACCAGTGCACCTATGTTAGGAATGTTCCCTTATATTACATAATTGGTTGATCACCTTTATCCATATACAAATTCAAATGCAATCCTAACGGTTAAATGAGATCATAGCTTACTGCACTACAACCTTGAACTCCTGGGCCAAGCCATCATTCTGCCTCAGCCTCCTGAGTAGCTGGTACTATACATAGGCACGCACCACTTTGCCTGGCTAGCCATTGGCTTTTTATCCATTAAATATTATCTTGAATGCAGTGCAACACTCACCACAGTTGCTTGATGTGATTCTTCCCTTTTAACTCTGTTGGAAACATTTTCACAGTTGAAGTTTGTCTTATGTGTACAAATGTGCACAATGTTGTCTCACTGTGGCCTGCTCTTCTAGTAGCCAGATCTTTATTCCCTTAACTGTGATGTTTGACTGCGATGCCGCATAAAAGGCACCATTTGGGGGGAAAAAAGATTTTAATCAACATATACTTCAGCTGCTCTATGTCTTCTTAACATGATGGTGGGTTTCCTCCAATACAAAGGGTCTCAGTTCCCCTGTAGAATTTTTCTTAGCATGTCTGTGATTACTTGAAGTGTTATTCTTTAATGACTTCCGAATCTTTCTACCAGGCTGAGGTGATCTTTGCAATGTGAAAGATACTGAACTCTACTTGGGCCCTAAAATCTCATTGTCCTTCTTCCTTGATGTAGATATTGAAGATTTTAATATCTCATTTTCATCTCCATCACTTGAGATTGTTGAGATGGTTCTTGCCCACCTGGGAGAGAACATCAGCCAGGCAGAGAACATCAGCCAGGTTCTTGCCCACCTGGGAGAGAACATCAGCCAGCTCACAGAGGAAGAAATGTGAGCATTAAAAGCCAACAAGGCTGTTTCAAATCAGAGTTCTGTCATAAATAGCTGCATTACCTTGAGCAAATTGCTGGACTTCTCTCTCTGTTTTTTTTTTTTTTTTTTTAGATGGAGTGTTGCTCTTGTTGCCCAGGCTGAAGTGCAATGGCACAATCTCAGCTCACTGCAACCTCTGCCTCCCAAGTTCAAGTTCAGCCTCCCAAGTAGCTGGGATTACAGGCACCCACTGGCTTACCCAGCTACTTTTTTTTTTTTTTTTTTTTTGCAGAGACAGGGTTCCACCATGTTGGCCAGGTTGGTCTCAAACTCCTGACCTCAGGTTATCTACCCGTCTCAGCTCCCAAAGTGCTGGGATTACAGGTATGAGCCACCATGCCCAGTCTGCTTAAATTCTCTTAATTGTGCTGTTTTTATCTGCCTCATAGGAGTATTTTAAGGATTCACAGAAATGACGTTTAAGATACAGGAAGCACATCTTAGAACAGAGGAGGCTTATAGAAGCCCTCAATACATGGCATCGGTTCTTATTCTTCCCCATGCTTTAGGCATCCCTTCTATATCCCCACCTCTTTTTCCTTATTCATCCAATTCTGTGTCGGTTTCCTTGGGCTGCAGTAACAAACTACCACAAACTTGGTGGCTTAAAACTTATTCTCTCACAGTTCTGAAGCTAGAAGTCTGAAATCAAGAATTGAGGTTTCAGCAGGACTGTGTTCCCTCTGAATCCTACAGGGAAGCATCCTTCCTCACTTCTTCCCAGTTTTGGATGGTTGACAGCAATCCTCTGCATTCCTTGGCTTGTATTAGGTTGGTGCAAAACCAATTGTGGTTGTTGCCATTAAAAGTAGTGGCAATTGGTTTTGTACCAAGCTAATCGCTACATCTCTCCATGTGTCCCTCTTCCCATGACATTCTTTCCTGGGTTTCTTCTGTGTCTCTGTATCCAAATCTCCCTCTTCATATAAAAACACCAGTTGTTGAATTTAAGGTCCTGATTCAATATAACCTCACCTTAACTAGTCATCTCTGCAAAGACTCTATTTCTACCATGAGATCACATTCTGAGGGTCCAGATTAACATGAATTTTGGGGGGATGCTATTCTACCCAGTATCTTCACTTTGGGATGTTGCAAGTCTTGCCCACCAGGAAGGCCCAGCTCAGATTCCATCGCCTAGGTGTATTGTCCCTAACTGACAGCTCCTATGACCATCCCATGGCATAAACCACGGGAACACATCTGTCCTGTGCCCAGGGGTGCGCTGGTAAATGTTTAGCAAACAGCTCCATCACGTAGGTGCAGGCAGGGAAATCCTGATATATATGCAGCTGGTTTATGTGCTGTATTCTCCCACCACGGCCAAGTTCAAGCTATCAACATGCTGTTAATCAACTTTTGAAATTTCTGAAAATTTAGCAATCAGCTCTCTCAAGCTGGTATGAGGTAACTCAAAGATGAGTGGCACACTGCCTTGTAACTACTGTTTTGTCTCTAATGTTACTCATCATCCTATGAAATAATAAGTTTCTCTGACATATATTTACTTAAGAGCCAGCTCAAAATCATCTCCAGTGGAAGCCTTGAGGGCCCCTGCCAACCTTTGAAATCTTCAGTGGCCCAATTTTGTATTTTCTATTTTCCTCCAAAGAAGCACTCATAATCCTGTATTATAATAATGTGTTCACTTCTTTGAATTCTTAACAGG